CTTGGTGTATGTACAGATTCCTCATAAGCACAATTAAGTGTTCTGGAATTCCTGTTCTTCACTATGTTATCCATAATTCATTGTCATCTACATAGTCAAATGCCTTTATATAGTCAATAAAACATTGGTAAAGACCTTTCTGGTATTTGCTTTCAGCCAAGATCCATCTGACATCAGCAATGATATCCCTCATTCCACTGAAACATCTCAATTGGTATCTCTTCAATCTCTGAAGTTTTGTTTCACATCAATGCCTTCAGTGTAGCTTGAACTTCTTCATTAAGTACCATTGGTTCTTGATCATATGCTACCTCATGAAATGGTTGAATTGATCAATTCTTTTTGGAACAATGATGCTGAGTATTCCTTCCATCTTCTTGTGATGCTTCCTGTGTCATTCAATAATCCTTCAATACTGCAACTTGGTGCTTGAATTTCTTCATCTTTAGCTTGAGATATGCTGAGCATTTTCTTCCCTTTTGGTTTTCTAAGTCTAGGTCTTTGCTCATTTCATTATTATGTTTCACTTTGTCTTTTCAAGCTGTTTTTGAAATTTTCTGTTCAGTTCTTTTACTTTATTATTTCTGCCATTTACTGTAGCTATTCTATGTCTAAGGGTCTCTTCTAACACCCATTTTTGTTTTTTTTCTTCCTTTCCTGTCTTTTTAATGACCTTGTCTTTTCTTCATGTTTGATGTTTTTAATGTCTTCTCACACTCATCTGGTTTTTGGTCATTGGTTATACGTCAAATCTATTCTTGACATACGGATTATACTCTGGAGGGATATACTCAAAGTTGCTCCTTAAGAAAATTAATACAAGTCTTTAAGAGCTAAGGGAGATCTGGTAGCATAATGCCTAAGGCACTTGACTGCTCACCAGAAGGCTAGTCGTTCGAACCCACCAGCCACTCCTCGGAAGGTTGGGTGGGCAATCTACTTCCATAGTGATACTGCCTCAGAAACCCAAGGAGGAGTCGCTATGAGTCAGGTCCAACTCTATGGCACACAACAACAACTATTAATTTTCTTCAGCTTCAATTTGAACTTGCATATGAGCAGTTGATGGTCAGTTTCTCAGTTGGCCCCTTGTCTTGTTCTGACTAATGACATTGAGGTTTTCCACTGTCTCTTTCCACAGATGTCATCTATTTGATTTCTGTGTATTCCATCCAGTAAGGTCCATGTGTATAGTTGCCATTTATGTTGTTGAAAAAATGTATTTTCAATGAATAAATTGTTGGTCTTGCAGAAGTCTAACATGTATGTATATAAAATGAAAAACTATGTGTCATAATAGAAAACATTCCTTCCTTCACACACACAAAATCTTTACAAAAAATTATCATATACTAGTTTTAAAAAATAATTTCAATAAATAAATAACATAAAGAGCATTCTCTAAGTACAATGCACTAAAGTGAAATGTTGTTGTTATATGCCATCGAGTCAAACCTGACTCATAGCGACCCCTTCTTGGGTTTCCAAGGCAGTATCACTACGGAAGTAGATTGACCCATCTTCCTTCTGAGGAGTGGCTGGTGGATTTGAACCGCCAGCCTTCTGGTTAGCAGTCAAGTGCCTTAGCCACTATGCTACCAGAGCTCCCAAAGTGAAATAGTAATAATAAAATTAAATAATGGTTTTCCACTTGTATATTTTTGAAAGTCTTTCTTTTTAAAACAAATTTCTTTATTAAATTATTCTAAATGGAAATTTTAAAAATTGCAGATTAAAAAAAAAGTGATAAGGAAACACTATTCATTAGAATCTGTAGGATATAATTAAAATGATGATAGAAGGAAACTATTTAATCTTAAAAATGTATACCCATATAAATGAAATAATATGCAATTCAAAAAATCCAGAGGAAATACATCAAACAAAACTACTAGGAAATAGAATTAAGGAAATAATAAAGATACAAACAAAAAATAATGAGTTAGAAAACAGAAAAAACAGTAGAATTCATAAATAACTCAAATTATGGTTGTTTGAAAGACTGAAAAATATAAAATGTCCACGTGGAAATAACCACTGAAACAGAGGAAACTAGACATAACAATAATAAGAGATTACTTTACAAACTATGTAAGTTAAATAGATAATTGCATAATAAAATAGAATTTTATAAAATTGATTTTAGCAGTGGCAAGACTTTTAAATAGATTAACTTCCATAAAGAAATAGAAAAAGCAGTCAAAGAATTATCCCACAAGAAGCAACAGGCCCAGATGTTTTTATAGGACAATTCTACCAAACCTTCAAATACCAATCCCGGTGCTGCTTAAACTTTTTCAGAACACTGAAAAAGAAGACATTTGCATTTTAGTGAAGTTGTTATCTAAACCTGATAAAATTGTACAAAAAATGAAAAGCACAAACTGTGAGGCTGAGGCCAGAGTCCTAATAGCCTCCAGGGAAATCTTTAACCAGAAACCTTTTAGTGCCAGGGATTCTAACAAGTCTTTTAACGTTGAGGATTCTAAACACTCCCTAGGGCCTTTATGTACCCTCCGGTCTCAGCAGGTATCAGAGATTTCCTTCGGATTCAGCACGCATCAGAGAAGTCCTCTGGAATCAGCGCGTATCAGAGATTTGCTCGGCTCCTGAAGTCTTCCACATATCAGTGCTCTGCATCCTCTCTAGATAATAATTCCCTAAGTAGACATTGGAGCTGAAGGTTCCAACACGTCCCCCAAAACCCCTTAGCAACAACCAATCATCTGTACCCCTTTGCCCTGGTGCTACTCCACCCCATATTTTTCTATAAAAATGTGATAATGAAGGAGCACAGGGTCTTTTGCTAAGGCCACTGCGCTGGCAAAGAGCAAGGACCCTAGCTTGAGCTAGCAAATAAACTTTCCTTTTGCATTTGCATTTTCGTGTGCTGGCAAATTCCTCGCGCCGAACAACTCCTTCACAACCTGGGCACAACAAAACTAGTCTCACTTTTAAGTCTCAGTGCAAAAACTTGCAAAGAAAATATAAGCAAATAGAATCCAGAAGCACATTTAAAAATACTTTATGTCTTATTTACTATTGGGCTGAGAGCCAGCCCTTAGGAGTGAGTTTTATCCCAGGCCCGAAGTATATCCCAGGGCCATAGTCTACTCAGCCCAGGGGGATGCACCACATACTCTACAAAGATATATCCCTTAGAGAAATATGCCATGGGGCACCAGAGGGGCAACATTCACACGGAGGAAAAGTAGGACACACAGGAGTGCATAACTAAGAAGGGCACAGGGAGGGGGGTGGTTACTGAGAAGGGAGAGGAGGAGAGTGGGTTAGCGCTGGAGATGGTAATTGGGGAGTGAAACCAAATGTACATGAAATGTTGAATGTAAAACAAATTCTGCTCTGTAAATTTGCACCTAAAGCACAATTTAAAAAAAATTTAAATTAAAATAATTAAATAAATAAAAGAAGTAGGAGCAGGGAGATTGAGGCTTTGCTTTAGTTAGTTGTCTGGGGTCTCACTGTGAGCCATGACACACTCAAGTGGCCCCAGAACACTCAGCAGTCCTATGAGCAAGGTATCAAAGATTTTGGAGAGAGGTGGAGGAGAGAGAGAGAGAGAATGAAAATGGGAGCAGGCCATGATGAAGCATTTGGAAAAAACAGGCACTTAGTCTGGGGGTATTAAACATTGCACAAATGGTCTACATGTTAAAGTTTAAGCAATAATAAATGGTTGTCAATAACAACAAGAAAATATGTCTAAGTGGAGAATGGAAGGATGGCTTAATATTAGAAAAATCATTTATGTATTTTTCCATGTTAATATATGTTGGGGAAATATAATTTAAGATAAAATATCCTGGAAACCTAGAAAACTTCTCCACAAAAGTAGAAGAGAAAGAAAATAGTGTTATTATTAAATAGGCATTAAGCCAGAATGAAGTGTATTGTAGACAATCGGCTAAAAAGATTGCAAAGCCAGAAAGAAATCTACCTTCTGATAAAACCAAACAGATACAACCCAACATTCCTGTCTCAAGATACATAATTACTAGTCCTCAAGTAAGAGGACTTGACTACATATTTGCTCTACAAAGTATATCTTAAATTCACCTGCTAATTAAGGTGGCATTAATGTCTGTTAAAGGAGTTGTGGTGGCAAATTGTGAAAAGCATTTGTTAACCAGAGAAGGTTGGTGGTTCAAACCCATGAGATGCTCCATGGGAAGAAGATGAGGCAATCTACTTCCCTAAAGATTTACAACCTTGGAAACCCAGTGGGGGTTGCTATATGAGTTGGAATCAACTCTTTGACAGTGGATTTATTATTATTATTATTATTATGTTTTTTGGTAATTCTTTTATACAATGGAATAAAATTTTCTCAAATCTTTAGGACAGCTCGATAGTTACATTGTGGAGCTAGACACTTCAGCTTCGATGGAGATAAAGAGATAGGGGTGTTATTTTCCTTGATATTTACATTTTAAAAACATTGATCCAACATTCTTGAAAAAGATATTCCTAGGTTGCAAAAGACTTAGTGAGATTTGAAAGTCAGCAAAAGACTTAGTGAGATTTGAAAAAGATTTACACACATCTTAAAGAGGCAGAGAAAGATTAACAATTATAAATTTTCTAAAATAAATGCTCCAAGAAAAGTACAGGGGTGTCACTTTCTCTTTCTCGACCAGGGAAAATTCAAGTTTTTCTTTTTTCAAAGTTGTGTTTACCCTTACACATATCTATGAAGGAAAAAAAAAAAGGTTTTTATTTCTATCAAGTCTGAAAAGGACTTTAACAAAATTCAGTACCTAATTCTGAATAAGTCAGGGGTGGGGATAGAGAGATGAATGACAGAGAAAGAGAGGGGAAGGAAGACAAGAACGGGGAGAAGAAGAGAGCAAAGAAAGAGAGAGAGCAAATATGGCAAAAGTTAACAATTATTATTCTTTCAACTTTTTTATAGTTTGGAAATTTTAAAAAGCATTTGGAGAAAAAAATATATACATTGGCTCTTATTTTTAAATATTTACCTCTGTTTTCATAAGATACATGAGGTTTAATCAGTGCTAAAGTGCTTTGAGGAGGAAAGAAATACTGTATTTCCTTTTCAGCAGTTTCCAGTGAATCACTTCCATACAATTGATTGATAGGCAAATTTTCCCTTGCAAACTGGGCACATAAGCTTTGGGGATAAAAAAGTCAAGTTCAAAAAATGTAACTAACAACAAAACAAAATGTTAACAAAACATTACTCATAAAACTATATAAATTATTCAATGCTTATGATTATTAAATAACTATATAAGTTAAATAAATTAAACAAGTATATAAATTATTCAATAGTCAACATCAACTGGGGCAACTTCTTCCTGGTTTTGCATTGTGCAAAAGGATTTAACCACAGTTACTTGGGCCATGCACCTTTCCCTCAAATAGTTAATATTCATTAGGAAGAAAGGAAGAAAGAAAGAATCATGATAATGGATATTAACAAATAAATATAAACAAATAAATGAATGTTATGCATAGTCAAAAAAATACAACCAATGAAATGTGGCTTGCACCACTTGTTGCATATGTGGTAATTGGGTGATTATGTAACTTCTATATAATTTTTGGGAGCTCTAGTGGCATAGTGCCTAAGGTATTTGACTACTAACCAGAAGGATGGGAGCTCTCATAGCGTAGTGCTTAAGGCACTTGACTGCTAGCCAGAAGGCTGGCGGTTCAAATCCACCAGCCATTCCTCGGAAGGAAGATGGGGCAATCTACTTCCATAGTTATACTGCCTTGGAAACCCAAGCAGGTGGCGCTATGAGTCAGTCCGACTCCACAGCACACAACAACAACCAGAAGGTGGTGGTTCAAACCCACCAGCCCACTCCTGGGAAGGAAGATTGGGCAATCTACTTCTGTACAGATACCGCCTCAGAAACACAAGGAGGGGTCACTATGAATTGAATTGACTCGACAATAGTGAGTTTGGTTTTGGTTTGGTGTATACTTTTGAGGAGCTCTGGTTGTGGTTAAGGCATTGGGTGCTAACCAAAAGGCCAGTGGTTTGAGTGCTCCACATGAGGAAGATGAGGCAAACTAATTCTGTAAAGATTTACAGCCTTAGAAACTGATGGGGGTTGCTATGAGTAGGAATCAACCCATCAGCAATGGGGATTTTTGGTTTCAAATATAAATATGACAATTAAACTTACTTTAAAAAGATTTTGAGGATATAATTAGATGACATATTTGAAATATATGATACATATCAATTCTGATTGATCCTATAGGACAGAGTAGAACTTCCCCACAGAGTTTCCAAGGCTGTAAATCTTCATGGAAGAAGACTGCCTCATCTTTCTTCCACAGAACAGGTGGTGGGATCTAACCACTGACTTTTTGGTTAGCAGCTGAAAGAATTGAAGAAAAAAATTAAGCCTCAAGTTGCAATATTGAGAGATTCTATGGGCAAAATGCTGAATGATGCAGAGAACATCAAAAGAAGATGGCAGGAATACACAGAGTCACTGTACCAAAAAGAAGTGGTCAATCTTCATCCATTTCAGGAGGTGGCATATGATCTAGAACCAATGTTATTGAAGGAGGAAGTCGAAGCTGCAGTGAAAGAATTGGCGAAGAACAAGGCTCCGGGAATTGACGGAATACCCATTGAGATATTTCAACAAACGGATGCCCCATTGGAGGCACTCACTTGGTTATGCCAAGAGATTTGGAAGACAGCTACCTGGCCAACTGACTGGAAAAAATCCATATGTGTACCCTTTCCAAAGAAAGGTGATCCCACAGAATGTGGAAATTATCGAACAATATCATTAATATCACACGCAGTAAGATCTTACTGAATAATTATTCAAAAACGGTTGCAGCAGTATATTGACAGAGAACTTCCAGAGGTGCAAGCTGGATTCAGAAGAGGATGTGGAACAAGAGTTATCAAAGCTGCTGTCAGATGGATCTTGGCTCAAGGCAAAGAATACCAGAAAGATGTTTACTTGTGTTTTATTGACTATGCAAAGGCATTTGATTGTGTGGATCATGACAAATTATGGATAACATTGAGAAAACTGGGAATTCCCAAGCACTTGATTATACTCATGAAGAATCTGTACCTTGACCAGGAGGCTGTCGATTGAAAGGAACAAGGGGACACTACATGGTTTAAAATCAAGAAGGGAGTGTGTTAGGGTTGTATCCTTTCCCCATATATATTCAATGTATATGCTGAGCAAATAATCTGAGAAGCTGGACTATATGAAAAAAAATGTGGCATCAGGATTGGAGGAAGAATCATTAACAACCTGAGATACACAGATGATACAACTTTGCTTGTTGAAAGTGAGGATGACTTGAAGCACTTACTGATGAAGGTTGAGGGAAACAGTCTGCAGTATGGATTATGTCTCAATATAAAGAAAACAAAAATCCTCACAACTGGACCAATGAGCAGCATCACAATAAATGGAGAGAAGATTGAGGTTATCAGAGAATTCACGTTGCTTGGTTCTACAATGGATGCCAATGGAAGCAGCAGTCAGGACATTAGATGACATGTAGCACTGGGAAGGTCAACCACAAAGGAATTGTTTCAAGTGCTGAGGAGCAAGGATGTCTCCTTGAGGATTAAGGTGCACCTGACACAAGCCAAGATATTTCCAATCACCTTGTATGCATGTGAGAGGTGGACAATGAATAAGTAAGACTGAAGAAGAGTTGATGCTTTTGAGTTGTGGTGCTGGCGAAGAATGCTGAAAGTACCATGGACAGACAAAAGAACTAACAGATCTGTCCTGGTGAAAGTGCACCCAAAATGTTCCTTGGAAGTGAGAATGGCCAGACTTCATCTCACCTACTTTGGTCATGTTGTCAGAAGGGACCATTCCCTGGAGACTGATGTCATGCTTGGTAAGATGGAGGGTCGATGAAAGAGGGGAAGGTCTTCAACGAGATGGATTGACATGGTGGATGTGATGATGGGCTCAAGTATAGCAGGGATCATGGAACTGGCATGAGATCAGGCGGTGTTTCGTTCTGCTGTGCATGGGGTTGCTATGAGTCGGAAACGACTCAACAGCACCTGACAACAACAACAACAACAATTTCCTACACTGTAAGAGAATACATTTCTGTTTGTTAAAGCCATCCACTTATGGTATTTCTGTTATAGCAGCACTAGATAACCAAGACAAGTCCTTTGTTATGCTGTTAAAAATGATTATTGGAAAAATTTGGAGAAAAGGCTGGAATAGAGGAAAATACAAAGGAGAATAATAGGTTGCTATATTTCTCTTTTATGCAAGTGGCCAGATTTCAGATTAGAGCAATGTAGAGTATAGAATCTGATACTCAAGTTCATAAAAGGTGTAGAGTTCTGAGGATAGTTGTTTGTAAAGCAGCATCAAAGAGCAGGTTGGAGCTAAGGAAACTGGAAAAGAGAGGGCCAATTAGAAGAAATAGTCAAGATGAGTTGGGAACTTGTGGCAAATTAAGTAACCTAAGGGCTGTGGATGGGAATACTCATTACATGGGGTAAGGATAGACAGTCACTGAGTGCTTTCACCTGGAGAAAATGTCTCTAGACTGGCACATAAAGTCCACCCCTCCAATCGCAACTTCTAGTCCATTATGCATGTAGCTGTGCATCTTATATTGATTAACAGTCCTCCCACTGCTGTCATGCATTGTATTCTATGTTTTATTTTACTTCAAAATTCTATGGCAATTCACTCACACCACTTGCAAGATATTTAACCCGTATTATTATTTATAGTAATTGTCTGGCTGAGGAGCAAAGACATAAGTTAATAGGGCTAAATATGGAGTAACATGTGTCCATGCAAGACAAGTCTGAGTCAAGAAGATCCTACTGAAAAGAAATCAATTTTTATATAAATGATGCTTCATAAATACTATTTATTGTGTTAACATAGTGGTCAAGCTCACTGCACCACATAGAGCATTTTTATTCTTGGCAACATGAAGAAGGAGCCATTTTCTCCCTAAATTGAATCCCTAACCTGAAATTAGCACAAAGAATTCAATCAAATTGCAATTAAGTTTGTTTTCCATCAGCTTAATGCCAGGCATGGATATGCATGAAATTCTTTCCCATTCCCCAGAGGGGAGCAAGCCCAACAACTATATTCAAAAAAATATTTAAAGTATATCCCCTATGTGCCAGGTAATGTGCCAGCTGTTGAGTTGGTTGCAAAGTTTAGCTAATTTCTAAGATTTATCAGTAAGCTAAGTAAGTGTTCCCACCAAATTGTAGACTACCCATCATTATCTTGAAACTCTGTTCCCACCAAATGGTAGGCTATACATCATTGTCTTGAAGCTCTTACAATCAATTAAAGGACTTGCACCTGCCAACCCAAGTCTTTATGTCAACATAGTTTGCCAACACACATTAAAAAGAATTTCTACTAAAGACCAGGTTGGCTGGATATTTCTTATAAGAAATGGCCTTTTGGCTTGGTATCCCTTCACTTACTGTTGTTGTGTGCCGTCAAGTCAGCCCTGACTCATAGTGACCCCTCCTTGGGTTTCCAAGGTGGTATCACTATGGAAGTAGATTGCCCAGCCTTCCTTCTGAGGAGTGGCTAGTGGGTTTGAACCACCAGCCTTCTGGTTAGCTGTCAAATGCCTTAGGCACTACGCTACCAGAGCTCCTACTATTTAGCCCTAAACCAAGAATCCTACCACCTTCTTTTGCAAAACTTTGGCTGTCTTCAACTTGGCATTGGGCTGGGTCTCCAGTCATAAGCTATCCATTCCTTCCCTAGAAAAATTAGCTTTTCTGAAATACTCCATGTTACTGGAGCTGTAGTTTATATACCCCATACCAAAAAAAAAAAAAAAGAAATTTCAGTAGATCCCATGAATAAAGCTGGAGGCTCTTGATGTGAATCCTACCTCTCTGGAGCATATTCTCTGGCTTCTTCAACAGACTTTGGTCCCAGTAATTCTTTCCAGTGTTTCAAACCATTATCTCCTAGTAAAACAAGGACTAAAGATGGGCCACTGTTCAAAAACGTAAAAGAAACAAAAAAAAAAAAAAAAAGAAGAAGAAAAAGTTTATAGAAATATGACTCAGTACCTAAAAATATGTCAAAATAATCCTTCTATTGGGATCTAAATTTAACTTCAATTGTTATACTTGAGAGAGAATATTTGTAAAAGGATGACAGTAGTAAAAGAAGACAAAGTGAAGGACTTTGTTTTTGATAGGGTGGCTCCTACATTGTTGTCATATTCCTACTCATTGCTATGGCCTTGCTGGATTTCTGCCTCAGCTGCTGTTTCAGCTATTCTGGAAACCTCAGGGACTTTAGAAATACTAAAGCCCTTCAGAGACAGTTTTCTGCTTGACTTTATAATGTTGCACATCCCAGGTTTCTACTGTTCCACTCAACTGGACTCCAGATACTTCTTGTGATACCTTTCAATTGCTCCAATAACATTACAAGAATATTAGAGAAGCCAGACAGTTGAGCAGAAAATCAGGATGGGGGTGGGGCTGATAAAGAAGTAGACTCAAGACATGTTCACAGAATTGAGAAGCTGGGCAACTTGAACAGAATCTGGGGTTAAAAGAAGGTTTAAATGGTTCTGAAATAAAGCAGACTCTCCTTTCTAAACCTCAACTCCACTTTACCTGGTCATGTTTTCTATAAGATTCTCAAAATAGTCTTCCTTTTCATAATCCTTGCAGAATGTTTGTGCTTCTTCTTTCGATAATACTATTTGTCTTTGCATCAGTATTTTAAAGCCTTCTTTTTCAATAATTTCCAAAACACCTTCCAAATGAAACAGTCACATAATAAGTTTCAAACTGTTATTGGTTACATACCCTATGTATATCATGAAAGTATATAATACATTTTGTTCTTTTTATATAATGAAATTTTATAAATAAATTTTATTTATATAATGAAATTTAAAAGTTAGCAAAAACAGCTCTTTAGGCTTCAATTTTAGGTAAATAATAACTCTTACCATATAAAATTATATTGCTGTTTCAAATTTTCCATCACTTAGAAATGATTTGCGTGAATATATACACACACACAAAAAAAAAAAAACCAAAGAGGTATCTGATTAGCAAATATTTTCTTGAGGTGTAATTTGAGTGTGTGTGTACAGCTAAACCAAAACCAAGCCCATTGCTGTTAATCCATTCTAACTCACAGAGACCCTACAGGACATAGTAGAACTGCCCAACAGGGTTTCCATGATTTTAAATCTTTATGAAAACACACTGCCACATCTTTCCCCTGTAGAGCAACTAGAGGGTTTGGACCTCTGACCTTTCAGTTAGCAATCTAGTGCTTTAACCACTGAGCCAGTAGAGCTCTCAATAACAAAAGTACCAACCAACACAATTACGTAAGTTTTATATGTAACTTTTATATTCAATATCCTTTATTTTATTTGACTCACTTGGGAAACTATGAATTGATTAGATACTCAAAAGATACCTGGAAGTATTTCTCAACCCCATTCTCTCTTGCCTGCTTCCCATTGTAGAAGGCTAGAAGATCCAACACTCACTTCATTCTTCCTTGTGGATAGTAATGTTACTCAGATCGGGGTCAGTGAGATACAAAGGAAATGTGCTGAGGGTACTTCTGAGAGAGGTATATAGGCAGAGCCTCTCTGTCCTACACCACCTCTGCTTCTTTCTTTTGAACATTTAGGGCACAGAGTGCTTGGTGCCACAGAGACCATCTTGCAACAGAAGGGGTAAGTCAAGAGCAAAAAACACTGAGTCAGGGTCCTGACAGCATTTAGCCTTCATCAGGCCAAAAATGTCTTCTGACTGATAAATCCCCTCTCCCTCACTGGATATAGAGTTAACAAACTACAAATAAACAAACAATTGCAAGGACAGAGTGAAACAAGCAATATATTCTTTCTTTTGGAAATGGATAGTGATGATGGTTGTACCACAAGATAAACATAATTGATGTCACTGTATTGTACAAGTAAAAAATATTAAAATGGCAAGTGTTTATATATATATAATATATATACCCACACACAAACATATATACACACACATATATATATACACACAAATTTACATATACACACACACACACATATACATATACATATTGTGTTGGATTGGGTTCTCTAGAGAAACACAAAAACCAGCAAAGTATATATATATATATTTATAGAGAGAGAAAGAGAGAGAGAGAGAAATTTATCTTAGATAAATGGCTCACAAGCGTGTAGAAGC